TGATGTCTCTATGATGTTTGCCGAAGCCGTTAGAAGAACACATAACGGCGAAAGTGTTTCTTATCTCTTCTCAAATGTTCCATATTTATAAATATGTTAAATGTTTTATATTAATCATAATACTTTATACATAAATACTACTGTTCATACTATTTTTGTACAATCTTATTTTTTTTCATACAACAATTTTAATAGAATAACAAAAATAAATTTTGGTTTCCCATTTGACATTGTCGTTAGACGATTATGTATTTCTTAAATGAAATGTTTTTAATTATAAAAAATATGATATTTTTATATATTAAATGAAATATAAATTCTTGATAACGATCTTTTTATTTTAATGGTTGCTTACTTCATGGGGAGGTATTAAAATTAAATAATAAATTTAAGTAAAAAATGGAAATAGGATTTTATTTCATTCTATTTTCTTATTATAGACAACGAAAAAAATCTCTCTAAAATGCGTCAACTAATAGAATTCGTAAATAAAAATATGCGTCCTTTTTGTAGAATGGAGAATGCCAAATTTTTCACCGTCTTCGTTGCGTGCTCTGAGAGAGCCTGAAAAAAGTACAGTTAATTACCTGATCTGCAACATCTGATGCAACACCTAATAATGTAAAACATCAAATAATAAAATTGGTTGTTGTATTAACGTTGTCATTCCATTTGTAACTTTTCGACGTACTTATATTAGATCCAATAAATACTATACTCTGTATTTTGACAACTTCGACTCGCAGTACTTCATGTGATTTTCGCAAAATTCTCCTACAAAGCATCATTTTAGAAGCACGACGTCTACGATTATGATATCCTTCATCGGATTTCACTATAAGTAATCAAATAAAAAAGATCTTCAAAGAAACTTGTATCAAGGTTGCTCAAAATCTTGAAAATATTTCGCACTTTTATTAATAAAATTGTACCGACTTTTTGATTTGCTTCATGAAAGAAACATAACATTTACTTTTAGGCAAAAAATGTTTTTTTCTATTCAAAAATCATAATAAGCTATTTACATAGGCTTAAAAGTGATATAGTTAATTACAATTCAAAATTCATTGCAAAGGAAAATTATGTGTTTGCGTTTTTTGTTTTTTTTTTCAGTAAAAATCTTCCTTAATACTTTTGTCTTTGTTGGGAAAAGTATCAATAAAAGAAATATTTCAGATCAATTTTCCATTTTTAATTTACACAAAGTCAGCACTTTATCTGAATTTGCTGCAAACATTCAACACCCAGTAGGCTGTAGAAAACTCCAAGGGAATTTTATGGTACCGGGTTTTTGGATCAAAACCCCAAAAAGGTTTCGGGTGCTTGGGCAAACTTTTATTTCACCGGCTGCGCAAACCAAATCTTCCCTTAATCTGATACTTTGGAGCAACTCTAGTTTAGTAAAAATTCTTCGATTTTTTCCAGAGGTAAGTATTTTTACCCTGATTCCGGGAAACTATTTTTTCTTGGGGGACAGACCTGGGACCACGATTTTTAACCCGAAAGTCCAAGTTTGCGGTGTAGGACATACCCTGAGGAGAAAACCTCAAGCCCCGGCCGAAGGCCGGCGGCTTACAAAAAGTATCAAATTTGGAAAACTTTGGTTCGCGTTAGCCGGTGTGGTACATACCCAGAGAAGAAAATCTCGAGCCCCGGCTACTTACAACAACTGTTAAATTTTTAACCAGAAGAGAATATGTATCTCTGGACCCGAAAAATGTATTAGCACATATTGTAGCATTTTGGAATTGAGTTATGGCGAATGGAAAGACCCATATCTCTGGACCCGAAAAAGGTATTAGCACAAATTGTAGGATTTTGGAAAGGTAAGAGTGTCAGCTATATCAACTCTGTTGACCCCTATAATGGGACCTTTTTCGACTTTTCGAGTTTTTATAAAAAATCCGGGTCAAAAAAATCGATAATTTGACTATAACTTCCAAACCGTGACCACTTGTTGGATAGGTATTTTCTTAACCGGGTCCGGGTCTTGAACACGGACTTTCGGGTCCAAAATCGGGAGTCCCGGGATCGTCTTCCAAGAAAAAGTAGTTTTCCGGAATCAAGGTTGTATGACAGAAGGTTTTATTTATTTTTGCGCCCGAATTAGTAAATATAACGCACTATAGGTTTCGAATTTAATTACAAGTTTATTTGCTTCAATATGTTTGCCGGTCATATGTCAACTAAACTTATCTATTTTCCAATCCCTTCTTAAGGGCTACAAAAAAAGGGGGGACAAAACAAAATCTGAAACTTCAAAACAAACGACGATTAATCGTGAAATACGAAATTCGCACAAAACAAAATGTAAACAAAACAAAGGGCCACAGTTATAAATATGTATGTTACTATACATACATACAAAACTGACAAACAACAGTGTTGTTGTTGTTATCCACAACTCAAAACCTACGAAGAAGACAAATGCCTAAACGACTGTAGGCATTGTTGTTATTGTCTCTATTTGAGACGCATATAACAGAAAACGAAACAACGATAACAATACACACATTAGGTTGTGACGAATAAATTTGGGAATTATGGAACAGTAGTGTGGGTCGACAAAAATAAGAATATATAAAATTAATATTAAATTAAACAATACAATGAAATGAACGACCCAACACTTCGAAGTAATTAAACTATACCTTTTTGAGACACATAATAAAGTTGATTGTTGACAAATCCGAAACAAGTGCCAAATGTGTTGCTTTAGAACTGAAGCAAACAAAAACAGCGATGTATTTTTTTATGGTGACTTTCCACAAAAATCAACTCTAGTGAATAGGAATGGACGATGAGCTCGAAAACGATCAACAGGCAAATTACCCATAATTTGCCCCAACAATTTTGGCTTGTAATGAAAGCAGTGAACGCAATTTCGAACTACTTTCCGAACAACTTTTTCCCACATTGTTCCGATGAACTTAAGCTGTTCACCTCAGCTAAATAATCGATATCTAAACGTGGTATTTCTATGGGCACAAAAACACCTATGCCGTTTAGAACTCTCCCGATATCTTTAGTCGCATAGCACACGCCCAAGGCGTCTATGCAATCCGAGTATGTAATTTTTTTCATACGACGAAGTTCCCTCTCGTTATCTAAATATTCCTTTCTTGCTTCTGTAAAGGAACGACCTAATTCGGTACATTTTCCCTAGCTTCTTCAGTTACACCACACAGAACAATTATTTCCATTTCTAAATAAAGTGACACAATATAGTCTAAGTCTACAAAATTCATATTGGCTAAATATATGTGCACTCAAAAAATAAACGAATAAACTAATCACTTTTAACTACTCGTCTATTGCGTTAGTATTTATATAGATATAGATCGACAGAATCTTTCACTGCTACCTATCATGTCTCCTTTTACACAACTAAAAGATCTAATACTATCTTTGCTTTAACAGTGCATCTTTTACGTCGCTACAGCAAATAAGCCTAACACACTTCACTTCTACGAAAATGCGCGCCTATCACGTTATTTATTTCGCATAAACTAATATTTTCTCGGACACTGAAAATATAGCCTATCGAATCACTTCCTTCACTAACTACACGCGATACTATCACGTGGGGGTCACCAAATGATGAGGTCGACTCCTAACCTCATCACAAGCGATGTAACTAACGAAAGAGAAAACGCCGCGAAATTATGTTTCTCGTTCCTTGGCTGGAAGGGAACTCAATTTATTTAAGACATATTCTTAACACTAAAGCTTACATCTAATACATTAACACATGCATTTTATTTAATAATGCACGGTGTGCTTTAACGTACACATTATGCTAGGAACACAATTGGAGCGAACGACGAATTTCGCCCTACGTGGCGACAAAATGAGCCGCGTAAATTCGCAGTATAGAACACAATACCGACGAAATTATAAAACAGCTGATGAAGTGGGTTACTTTTTGCTCATTTGTTGACTACAATGATCAGAGAATTGTAAAGTTTATTAAAATTGTTAAATAATGTATATTATAGTAAAGCTTATCTGCTTTTTCACTCAGGCGCAATATTTCTTTTTTGATACTTCTCCCAACAAAGACAAAAGTATTATGGATTTTTACTGAAAAAAAAAAAAAAAAAAAAAACGCAAACGCATAATTTTTTCTTGCATTCAATTTCTAATTGTAATTAACAGAACAGCGTTGGCTTGTTTGTTCGGGATACCATAGTATTTTGTTGTTGCAAATGGTCAGGCTTAATCCCTTTATTGATGTTTTTATAAAACAAAGTTTGTTTATTAGCGGCAAACGATGATAATGTTTACCAGGGGGCAATGATGGGAATGCCTAAGTAGGTTTTGGAAAGAGCAAAAACAAAACAGACAAAACCAACTTACATGGTTATGCTACTTCGTTCATATAAAACGAAAGCATAACAAGTTGAGAAAGATGAAAATGTTTAGAAGTGCGGTTGTAAGAATTAGAAGATTTACCAAAAGAATTTTGCTTTAATGTAATTCTCTGATTCCTCTTATATTGGGCTTACGCACTTGTGACTTGGGTAAACAATTGTCATAGAATTGTTTTTAAATAACTTCTGTTATTTTTAAAATAACTTCTGAGAAGAAAATCACAGACAAAAAACAAGGGAACTGATAAGGATTGGTTGCTCTTTCCAAAAACTAGGTATTCCCTGCCTATCATCGGTAAACATTATCATCGTTTCCCACTAATAAACAAACTGCGTTTTTATAAAAACAACAATAAAGGGATAGAGCCTGGCCATTTTGCAACAACAAAATACAATGATATCCCGAACAAACAAGCCAACACTGTTTTGTTATTACAATTCAAAATTGATTGCAAGAAAAAATTATGTGTTTGCGTTTTTTGTTTTTGTTTTCGTTAAAAATCCTTAATACTTTTGTCTTTGTTGGGAGAAGTATCAAAAAGAAATATTCCAGATCAATTTTTCATTTAAATTTCAACAAAAAATAATGAATTATTTAAAATAAATCTCGCTTTTATTATATTCAATTTAACAAAAATTTATCTTATTAATTGATTTCGTAAAACGTATAAGGCATAACAACGATTTTGTTTAGAGTGTAACATATTCTCAGCCCAAGTGATTACCAGTTACTAAAGTTTCAAAGATTGTACTATCGTTTTTAATTGCTCATATTGGAGCTATTTTCAAAAAGCAACTGAAATATAAAGTCTTGTAAAGGTAAATTTGCGTGAGTTTCACAGTAATTTTTTATTGTAATTTTGGCCTTATTGCATAGGTATTTCGAGGGTCTACAAACGGAATGACAAAGGTTATAGCATGATGTAGGATATTCGAAGTAATATTGGTAGTAATATGAATAAAATGCATTTTTTAACTCACCACTCCTTGAAATTGGTTAATCAAAAGATGCGCTGTTGTTTTTCACCACACAGTTTTCGTGCTCATGTTTCTTTATAGATTTGAAACCTATAATATAAAAAAGGGTGGTGGAAAGTTAAACAACGCATTAAATTCATATAACTACCAATATTATTTCGAATACCCTCCATCATGCTATAACCATGTCATTCCGTTTGTAGTTCCTCGAAATACCAATAAAAGACCTCACATTTCTCAGTTCAATCTGACACTTAGCTACGCACAAAATCTGCAAATTGGAGAAACAAGAATGGCAACCATTAAAGTGTTTTCGGGTACTTCGCATCCACATCTGGCTCAAAGGATTGTCGACCGTTTGGGTATCGATTTGGGCAAAGTGGTCACCAATAAATTCAGCAACTTGGAAACATGTGTCGAAATTGGTGAGTCTGTGCGCGGTGAAGATGTGTACATTGTACAATCTGGTTCCGGTGAGATTAATGACAACTTGATGGAATTACTGATCATGATCAATGCCTGCAAGATCGCATCAGCATCCCGTGTAACAGCTGTGATTCCTTGTTTCCCATATGCTCGCCAAGATAAAAAAGATATGAGTCGCGCCCCAATTTCCGCGAAATTGGTTGCAAATATGCTATCAGTGGCCGGAGCAGATCACATTATTACTATGGACTTGCATGCATCTCAAATTCAAGGTTTCTTTGATATTCCCGTGGACAATATTTTTGCTGAACCAGCCGTTCTAAAATGGATCAAAGAAAATATTACAGAATGGAAGAATTCCATTATTGTCTCACCTGATGCTGGTGGGGCTAAACGTGTGACGTCCATCGCTGATCGTTCGAACGTTGAATTCGCACTGATTCACAAAGAACGCAAGAAGGCCAATGAAGTTGCTTCGATGGTGCTTGTCGGTGATGTCAAAGATAAAATTGCTGTATTGGTCGATGATATGGCCGATACATGCGGTACAATTGTTCATGCTGCCGATCGTTTGGTGGAAGCAGGTGCTACAAAGGTTTATGCTATTTTGACACATGGTATCTTTTCTGGACCAGCGATTTCTCGCATAAACAATGCCTGCTTTGAGGCTGTGGTTGTTACAAATACTATTCCCCAGGATGGCCATATGAGAGATTGTCGCAAAATACAGTGCATTGATGTCTCTATGATGTTTGCCGAAGCCGTTAGAAGAACACATAACGGCGAAAGTGTTTCTTATCTCTTCTCAAATGTTCCATATTTATAAATATGTTAAATGTTTTATATTAATCATAATACTTTATACATAAATACTACTGTTCATACTATTTTTGTACAATCTTCTTTTTTTTCATACAACAATTTTAATAGAATAACAAAAATAAATTTTGGTTTCCCATTTGACATTGTCGTTAGACGATTATGTATTTCTTAAATGAAATGTTTTTAATTATAAAAAATATGATATTTTTATATATTAAATGAAATATAAATTCTTGATAACGATCTTTTTATTTTAATGGTTGCTTACTTCATGGGGAGGTATTAAAATTAAATAATAAATTTAAGTAAAAAATGGAAATAGGATTTTATTTCATTCTATTTTCTTATTATAGACAACGAAAAAAATCTCTCTAAAATGCGTCAACTAATAGAATTCGTAAATAAAAATATGCGTCCTTTTTGTAGAATGGAGAATGCCAAATTTTTCACCGTCTTCGTTGCGTGCTCTGAGAGAGCCTGAAAAAAGTACAGTTAATTATCTGATCTGCAACATCTGATGCAACACCTAATAATGTAAAACATCAAATAATAAAATTGGTTGTTGTATTAACGTTGTCATTCCATTTGTAACTTTTCGACGTACTTATATTAGATCCAATAAATACTATACTCTGTATTTTGACAACTTCGACTCGCAGTACTTCATGTGATTTTCGCAAAATTCTCCTACAAAGCATCATTTTAGAAGCACGACGTCTACGATTATGATATCCTTCATCGGATTTCACTATAAGTAATCAAATAAAAAAGATCTTCAAAGAAACTTGTATCAAGGTTGCTCAAAATCTTGAAAATATTTCGCACTTTTATTAATAAAATTGTACCGACTTTTTTGATTTGCTTCATGAAAGAAACATAACATTTACTTTTAGGCAAAAAATGTTTTTTTCTATTCAAAAATCATAATAAGCTATTTACATAGGCTTAAGAGTGATATAGTTAATTACAATTCAAAATTCATTGCAAAGGAAAATTATGTGTTTGCGTTTTTTGTTTTTTTTTTTTTCAGTAAAAATCTTCCTTAATACTTTTGTCTTTGTTGGGAAAAGTATCAATAAAAGAAATATTTCAGATCAATTTTCCATTTTTAATTTACACAAAGTCAGCACTTTATCTGAATTTGCTGCAAACATTCAACACCCAGTAGGCTGTAGAAAACTCCAAGGGAATTTTATGGTACCGGGTTTTTGGATCAAAACCCCAAAAAGGTTTCGGGTGCTTGGGTAAACTTTTATTTCACCGGCTGCGCAAACCAAATCTTCCCTTAATCTGATACTTTGGAGCAACTCTAGTTTAGTAAAAATTCTTCGATTTTTTCCAGAGGTAAGTATTTTTACCCTGATTCCGGGAAACTATTTTTTCTTGGGGGACACACCTGGGACCACGATTTTTAACCCGAAAGTCCAAGTTTGCGGTGTAGGACATACCCTGAGGAGAAAACCTCAAGCCCCGGCCGAAGGCCGGCGGCTTACAAAAAGTATCAAATTTGGAAAACTTTGGTTCGCGTTAGCCGGTGTGGTACATACCCAGAGAAGAAAATCTCGAGCCCCGGACGAGGGCCGGCTACTTACAACAACTGTTAAATTTTTAACCAGAAGAGAATATGTATCTCTGGACCCGAAAAATGTATTAGCACAAATTGTAGCATTTTGGAATTGAGTTATGGCGAATGGAAAGACCCATATCTCTGGACCCGAAAAAGGTATTAGCACAAATTGTAGGATTTTGGAAAGGTAAGAGTGTCAGCTATATCAACTCTGTTGACCCCTATAATGGGACCTTTTTCGACTTTTCGAGTTTTTATAAAAATCCGGGTCAAAAAAATCGATAATTTGACTATAACTTCCAAACCGTGACCACTTGTTGGATAGGTATTTTCTTAACCGGGTCCGGGTCTTGAACAAGGACTTTCGGGTCCAAAATCGGGAGTCCCGGGATCGTCTTCCAAGAAAAAGTAGTTTTCCGGAATCAAGGTTGTATGACAGAAGGTTTTATTTATTTTTGCGCCCGAATTAGTAAATATAACGCACTATAGGTTTCGAATTTAATTACAAGTTTATTTTGCTTCAATATGTTTGCCGGTCATATGTCAACTAAACTTATCTATTTTCCAATCCCTTCTTAAGGGCTACAAAAAAGGGGGGACAAAACAAAATCTGAAACTTCAAAACAAACGACGATTAATCGTGAAATACGAAATTCGCACAAAACAAAATGTAAACAAAACAAAGGGCCACAGTTATAAATATGTATGTTACTATACATACATACAAAACTGACAAACAACAGTGTTGTTGTTGTTATCCACAACTCAAAACCTACGAAGAAGACAAATGCCTAAACGACTGTAGGCATTGTTGTTATTGTCTCTATTTGAGACGCATATAACAGAAAACGAAACAACGATAACAATACACACATTAGGTTGTGACGAATAAATTTGGGAATTATGGAACAGTAGTGTGGGTCGACAAAAATAAGAATATATAAAATTAATATTAAATTAAACAATACAATGAAATGAACGACCCAACACTTCGAAGTAATTAAACTATACCTTTTTGAGACACATAATGAAGTTGATTGTTGACAAATCCGAAACAAGTGCCAAATGTGTTGCTTTAGAACTGAAGCAAACAAAAACAGCGATGTATTTTTTTATGGTGACTTTCCACAAAAATCAACTCTAGTGAATAGGAATGGACGATGAGCTCGAAAACGATCAACAGGCAAATTACCCATAATTTGCCCCAACAATTTTGGCTTGTAATGAAAGCAGTGAACGCAATATCGAACTACTTTCCGAACAACTTTTTCCCACATTGTTCCGATGAACTTAAGCTGTTCACCTCAGCTAAATAATCGATATCTAAACGTGGTATTTCTATGGGCACAAAAACACCTATGCCGTTTAGAACTCTCCCGATATCTTTAGTCGCATAGCACACGCCCAAGGCGTCTATGCAATCCGAGTATGTAATTTTTTTCATACGACGAAGTTCCCTCTCGTTATCTAAATATTCCTTTCTTGCTTCTGTAAAGGAACGACCTAATTCGGTACATTTTCCCTAGCTTCTTCAGTTACACCACACAGAACAATTATTTCCATTTCTAAATAAAGTGACACAATATAGTCTAAGTCTACAAAATTCATATTGGCTAAATATATGTGCACTCAAAAAATAAACGAATAAACTAATCACTTTTAACTACTCGTCTATTGCGTTAGTATTTATATAGATATAGATCGACAGAATCTTTCACTGCTACCTATCATGTCTCCTTTTACACAACTAAAAGATCTAATACTATCTTTGCTTTAACAGTGCATCTTTTACGTCGCTACAGCAAATAAGCCTAACACACTTCACTTCTACGAAAATGCGCGCCTATCACGTTATTTATTTCGCATAAACTAATATTTTCTCGGACACTGAAAATATAGCCTATCGAATCACTTCCTTCACTAACTACACGCGATACTATCACGTCGGGGTCACCAAATGATGAGGTCGACTCCTAACCTCATCACAAGCGATGTAACTAACGAAAGAGAAAACGTTCCTTGGCTGGAAGGGAACTCAATTTATTTACAACATATTCTTAACACTAAAGCTTACATCTAATACATTAACACAAGCATTTTATTTAATAATGCACGGTGTGCTTTAACGTACACATTATGCTAGGAACACAATTGGAGCGAACGACGAATTTCGCCCTACGTGGCGACAAAATGAGCCGCGTAAATTCGCCGTATAGAACACAATACCGACGAAATTATAAAACAGCTGATGAAGTGGGTTACTTTTTGCTCATTTGTTGACTACAATGATCAGAGAATTGTAAAGTTTATTAAAATTGTTAAAATAATGTATATTATAGTAAAAGCTTATCTGCTTTTTCACTCAGGCGCAATATTTCTTTTTGATACTTCTCCCAACAAAGACAAAAGTATTATGGATTTTTACTGAAAAAAAAAAAAAAAAAAAAGAGCAAAAACAAAACAGACAAAACCAACTTACATGGTTATGCTACTTCGTTCATATAAAACGAAAGCATAACAAGTTGAGAAAGATGAAAATGTTTAGAAGTGCGGTTGTAAGAATTAGAAGATTTACCAAAAGAATTTTGCTTTAATGTAATTCTCTGATTCCTCTTATATTGGGCTTACGCACTTGTCACTTGGGTAAACAATTGTCATAGAATGGTTTTAAATAACTTCTGTTATTTTTAAAATAACTTCTGAGAAGAAAATCACAGACAAAAAACAAGGGAACTGATAAGGATTGGTTGCTCTTTCCAAAAACTAGGTATTCCCTGCCTATCATCGGTAAACATTATCATCGTTTCCCACTAATAAACAAACTGCGTTTTTATAAAAACAACAATAAAGGGATAGAGCCTGGCCATTTTGCAACAACAAAATACAATGATATCCCGAACAAACAAGCCAACACTGTTTTGTTATTACAATTCAAAATTGATTGCAAGAAAAAATTATGTGTTTGCGTTTTTTGTTTTTGTTTTCGTTAAAAATCCTTAATACTTTTGTCTTTGTTGGGAGAAGTATCAAAAAAGAAATATTCCAGATCAATTTTTCATTTAAATTTCAACAAAAAATAATGAATTATTTAAAATAAATCTCGCTTTTATTATATTCAATTTAACAAAAATTTATCTTATTAATTGATTTCGTAAAACGTATAAGGCATAACAACGATTTTGTTTAGAGTGTAACATATTCTCAGCCCAAGTGATTACCAGTTACTAAAGTTTCAAAGATTGTACTATCGTTTTTAATTGCTCATATTGGAGCTATTTTCAAAAAGCAACTGAAATATAAAGTCTTGTAAAGGTAAATTTGCGTGAGTTTCACAGTAATTTTTTATTGTAATTTTGGCCTTATTGCATAGGTATTTCGAGGGTCTACAAACGGAATGACAAAGGTTATTGCATGATATAGGATATTCGAAGTAATATTGGTAGTAATATGAATAAAATGCATTTTTTAACTCACCACTCCTTGAAATTGGTTAATCAAAAGATGCGCTGTTGTTTTTCACCACACAGTTTTCGTGCTCATGTTTCTTTATAGATTTGAAACCCATAATATAAAAAAGGGTGGTGGAAAGTTAAACAACGCATTAAATTCATATAACTACCAATATTATTTCGAATACCCTCCATCATGCTATAACCATGTCATTCCGTTTGTAGTTCCTCGAAATACCAATAAAAGACCTCACATTTCTCAGTTCAATCTGACACTTAGCTACGCACAAAATCTGCAAATTGGAGAAACAAGAATGGCAACCATTAAAGTGTTTTCGGGTACTTCGCATCCACATCTGGCTCAAAGGATTGTCGACCGTTTGGGTATCGATTTGGGCAAAGTGGTCACCAATAAATTCAGCAACTTGGAAACATGTGTCGAAATTGGTGAGTCTGTGCGCGGTGAAGATGTGTACATTGTACAATCTGGTTCCGGTGAGATTAATGACAACTTGATGGAATTACTGATCATGATCAATGCCTGCAAGATCGCATCAGCATCCCGTGTAACAGCTGTGATTCCTTGTTTCCCATATGCTCGCCAAGATAAGAAAGATATGAGTCGCTCCCCAATTTCCGCGAAATTGGTTACAAATATGCTATCAGTGGCCGGAGCAGATCACATTATTACTATGGACTTGCATGCATCTCAAATTCAAGGTTTCTTTGATATTCCCGTGGACAATCTTTTTGCTGAACCAGCCGTTCTAAAATGGATCAAAGAAAATATTACAGAATGGAAGAATTCCATTATTGTCTCACCTGATGCTGGTGGGGCTAAACGTGTGACGTCCATCGCTGATCGTTTGAACGTTGAATTCGCACTGATTCACAAAGAACGCAAGAAGGCCAATGAAGTTGCTTCGATGGTGCTTGTCTGTGATGTCAAAGATAAAATTGCTGTATTGGTCGATGATATGGCCGATACATGCGGTACAATTGTTCATGCTGCCGATCGTTTGGTGGAAGCAGGTGCTACAAAGGTTTATGCTATTTTGACACATGGTATCTTTTCTGGACCAGCGATTTCTCGCATAAACAATGCCTGCTTTGAGGCTGTGGTTGTTACAAATACTATTCCCCAGGATGGCCATATGAGAGATTGTCGCAAAACACAGTGCATTGATGTCTCTATGATGTTTGCCGAAGCCGTTAGAAGAACACATAACGGCGAAAGTGTTTATTATCTCTTCTCAAATGTTCCATATTTATAAATATGTTAAATGTTTTATATTAATCATAATACTTTATACATAAATACTACTGTTCATACTATTTTTGTACAATCTTCTTTTTTTTCATATAACAATTTTAATAGAATAACAAAAATAAATTTTGGTTTCCCATTTGACATTGTCGTTAGACGATTATGTATTTCTTAAATGAAATGTTTTTAATTATAAAAAATATGATATTTTTATATATTAAATGAAATATAAATTCTTGATAACGATCTTTTTATTTTAATGGTTGCTTACTTCATGGGGAGGTATTAAAATTAAATAATAAATTTAAGTAAAAAATGGAAATAGGATTTTATTTCATTCTATTTTCTTATTATAGACAACGAAAAAAATCTCTCTAAAATGCGTCAACTAATAGAATTCGTAAATAAAAATATGCGTCCTTTTTGTAGAATGGAGAATGCCAAATTTTTCACCGTCTTCGTTGCGTGCTCTGAGAGAGCCTGAAAAAAGTACAGTTAATTATCTGATCTGCAACATCTGATGCAACACCTAATAATGTAAAACATCAAATAATAAAATTGGTTGTTGTATTAACGTTGTCATTCCATTTGTAACTTTTCGACGTACTTATATTAGATCCAATAAATACTATACTCTGTATTTTGACAACTTCGACTCGCAGTACTTCATGTGATTTTCGCAAAATTCTCCTACAAAGCATCATTTTAGAAGCACGACGTCTACGATTATGATATCCTTCATCGGATTTCACTATAAGTAATCAAATAAAAAAGATCTTCAAAGAAACTTGTATCAAGGTTGCTCAAAATCTTGAAAATATTTCGCACTTTTATTAATAAAATTGTACCGACTTTTTTGATTTGCTTCATGAAAGAAACATAACATTTACTTTTAGGCAAAAAATGTTTTTTTCTATTCAAAAATCATAATAAGCTATGTCCTTTTTTGTTATTTTCCAGGAATAAACCTAAACTCGGCTGGCTCCCAAATGACAAGACTGGCAGGATTTCGGCAAAATAAAAAGCTGCGTTTATTTGGTTTGTTTGTTTACAAATAGTGAGTTTAGTTGTCGTTGTTTATTCTCTGTAAGAATTTTAAAAATTTAACAAAAATTAAGTTTACAAATAAAATAACAATATTTAATTTAAAAACAATAAAAATTAACACGACTTACTTATTTTTGGGTTCTAACAAAAAAGGGAATAAACAATGGCCATAAGGGCCTATTTATATAAAAGTGACATTAAGCAAAACAACAAAAATAAACAAAATGAAGATGTTGGCTTAAATTTAGTTTCGTCTCCCTCTTCGCTTGGGATATTTCGGCCATTTATAACAGTGGTATTTCAAATTTGGCTACACTTTTTTAGCTTTGGTAATTGCAGGGTTACCATCTCTAACATCCCCACCCCCGTGAACTGACCCAGAGGGGGAGGCTTCACCAACTCCGTCTCCAGCCGCTTCCACGTCCAAAATGGCAAGTTTGGACACAGGTCTGTGGTATACACCGGCACTCGTTCTCACCTTGGCTGATCGTGCCACTCCGTCTTTGCCCCTGAATACTTCGATGACTCGTCCACGTCTCCATTGCCCGTTTCAGCCTACGATATTTTGAAAATCTATTAATATCTGGAATACAAAAACATACCTGGCAAGCCACCAAAACTTTGTATTTGTTTCTTAGCTCTGTTTTGCTGTGATCCACACATGTTCCAATTTGTTCCTCGTCCGGCCAATACTTCTCTTCTTTTCTCAGGAATTCTGGCCCATTTTTCCAACGTCCTTCTGGCTGGTACTTCTTGGGTCCTTTAGCACGGGTCCCTTCGTCAGCTGGGTTTTCCGCTCCTGGACACCACCGCCACTGCTCCATACGGCTGCTTTCCAGAATCTCCGACACTCTATTTGCCACATATTGTTTGTATGTACGGTGTTCTGAACGGATCCAACTTATCACTGTTGAGGAATCTGACCAAAAATAAATGTTATTAATATTCTTCAAATGATTTTCCAAAATTTTTTCCTTCATTCGCACTCCAATTACTGCTGCTTGCAACTCAAGCTTAGGTATAGTATGGTATCTTGTTGGGGCACAGCTCGTCTTGCCCATAACGAACACAACACTTACACCACAATTTGTTACTATACGCCAGTATGCCACAGCAGCCATTGCATCTTCACTGGCATCCACAAACACATGCAAATCTACTATACCATTAAAAAATCCATTACTGTAACACCTCGGAACTTTGAAATCCTTTAATTTAGGCAATTCCTCCAGCCAGGTCTTCCAGCGGCTATAAATCGCGGGCGGCAACTCCTCGTCCCACTTTATACCACTTTTCCACACATTTTGCATAATTATCTTCGACGTCACCATAAAATCACCAAGAAACCCGAATGGATCGAATACGGACATATTTAAAGACAACATTTCGCGTTTCGTTGGCACTTTTTGCAATTTCAATATCTTTTCATCCACTTTGTGTAATTTTAATTCAAAACAAAAAACATCTGATTTTGGCAGCCAATGAATACCAAGTACCCGTTCCATTCCATCATCAAAAATTGAGTTGCCATCACTTTCATCAGAAATAGAGTTGCCAAACATACGTTGTAAAACAAGGGAATTAGACTTGATGTTGCGGAGATTAAATCCACCCTCTTTGTGAATTTTTATGACATCACGTACCACTTCAACTGCCTCACCTTCAGTCTGGAAACAGTCGACGTAATCGTCTACGTAATGACGATCGATGATTCCTTGTACTGCTCTTGGCGACTCATTTATAAACCTTCGGGCATTTAGGTTTTTTACATATTGGGCTATGGTGGGCGAACAAGTGGCTCCAAAAATCATCCGTTCCATTACATAAGTTTCTAAGGGTTGACTGGGATCCCCATTTCTCCATAGAAATCGCTGACTGTCCTGATCTTCTTTGGCGATTACAATTTGGTGGAACATCTCTTGTATATCTCCGCACACGGCTACAGGAAATTCCCTGAATTTAAAAAGAATAGAGATTAAAGAGTTATTTATGTCAGGTTCAGGTAATAAGGCTTTATTTAATGAAAATTGTTGAACTTCAGCAGCAGCATCGAAGACGATACGAATTCCATCTTTGTTGGGATTTTTAACGCCAAAATGTGGCAAATAAAACGTTCGGTCGCTCCTTCTTTCTCGTTCTGCTACTGAAAGTTTACGGCAATATCCTTTTTCCTCGTAGTCTCTTATCTTTTTGCAATATTGAGCTGCATATACACTGTCCTTTGCCATTTTTCGTTCCACACACTGCAATCGGTTGTACGACAAATTGTACGATTCTGGAATTGGAGAAAAATGTTCTTTCCACAAAAGCGGACACTGATATCGCCCATCGATTCTTTTCGTGTTTTCTCTCAATATTTTTAACGCTCGTTCATCATCTATGGACAGAATTGGTGTCACATTTACCTTGGTACCCAATGTCTCCACGTCGAAATATTGCCGCATCATGGTATGCATTTCCTTAAGCAAGTCACAATTTTCTTCCTCGAAACATTTCCTAACGTGTAAAGCCCGCTTAAGATTGGAACTCTTCTCGCCTGGGATCGGTCCATAAATTACGGCGCCTAATCTCGTTAGGGTAATGATTGGTCCAACATCAGTCATCATACGAGGAGCTTCCAAGGGAACTGTTAAAAATGAATGTTGCAAGCTTAATATTAGTTTAGGTTGAACATTCGAATAATCCCGGAATGGGATTTCGGCGATTTGGTCGATTTCACGGGATTTAATTAAATGATCCAGATGGCAACTCTGTATTGGCAATGACAGATTGGACGAAATGTAAACATTGGTTATCGGGTACTTGTTGTTGTACTCACCGACACCACTAATTGTCAAATTAATTTTTTCTGTTTTTCGTTTATGTTTTGGTTATTAAGCCACTGAATTTTTAAAATCTCCGGTTTCCCGTGTACTCCGAGTTCGCGAGCAACGTCCTCGTCCAGCATGGACACATTGGCGCCGTCGTCAATGAACGCGTACGTCGTTATTTGTTTGTGTGTTCCGTATAGCGTCACGGGCAAAATCTGGAACAGTACGTTTTCGGTGTAGTGGGCGGCATGACAATTTCTTCGTTGTGTTTGAGACGGCGGTGCGTCGGGAAGAGATGGGGTGTTCGTTCGTGGCTCCAAATCGTGTGTGGGTAATGTTCGGTTCGGTTCCTGGGATGGCGTCGCGAGTGTTTTGTGCAACAATTGGTGGTGTGATTTTTGGCAATCATTTATGCCACAACGACGCTTATAGTGGCAATTTTTAAGTTGGTGGCCTCTCTTTAAGCAACAAAAACAAGTTTTAATTTGTTTAATTTTATTCCATCGGTCATCGATGGTCATTTTTAAAAAGTGTGGACAGATTTTTATATTGTTGCACTCTCCCTGACAAATTGGACAGCTCGAACTGACAGCGACATATGCGTATTTTTTTTGTTGTGTTTGTGTGTGTCGGCGATTGGACGAGGTTGCTGAAATTGGCTGTGTGTCGTGGACCATATGTGCGAGACGGCGTAATATTCCCAACCAATCGCTGAAATCAACTATAGTGGCGGGGTGCTGGAGTTGCAGACATTTTTCGGCCCATTGCATTTGGCGGTTTATCGGCAGTTTGGACACTAGCTCACTCAGCAACGATGGATTGGATAGATGGTGTTCACCCTTGGCGTTTTTTAGGAAAGTGGCCATATTGGAGAGTTTGTTGGCAAAGTTGACAAGTGCATCCAAATTATCATCTGCCAGCGGTGGAATGGCTCGGACTTTTTCTACTTGGCTTCGGATAAGTTGCTCTGGTCGACCAAATGTTTCCTGCAGAATTTCCAAAATGGCGCTGACGTTGGCAGAACTCCCCAACATGGATTCCACTGTTTCCCTTGCTCGGCCCTTCAATGCGTCTCTCAAACGCATGATGTTATGGAGATTGGAGTAACCAAATTCGGTTGTGGTGCTCTCGTAGGCTTCGAAAAATGCCTGCCACTCCTCTGGAAGACCTGAAAAAATAGGCAAGGGATAAATTTTTTTATGTGCATTTCCGTTGGAGTTATTTGAAAGTGAATTTGGAAAAGACTCATCTGTGTTGATAGACAATGGCGGCAGTTGATGCACTTGAGTCTGCAACTGTTGACTTGTTGTTGGCGGTACTGTTTGTGGTGGCAAAACTACTGAATGTAATGGCAGATTCAATGGCGGCTGTGGCGGCAGACTCAATGGCGGCTGTGGTGGCAGATTCCTTTGTGGCTGTTGCGGCGTATTCAATGGCGGTTGTTGTGTCGTTTGATTTGAGAAAATTGGTGGTTGTGACGTCAGTGTAGGCAATGCTTGCTGCGACATTGTGTTTTGCAAAGAAGCAAACTGCTGTGACGTATTTAATAGTTGTGCTTGCATTTTTGCTTGTGCTGCTAAAAATTCGTCTTGCATTGCTTTCATCTGACGTTGCATCTGTTCCATTTCAAATTTCATAAGTTTTCTCATCTCGGCTAATTCATTTGCAGGATTTGGTGTTTTGGCTGGTGTATTTGAAGGCGGTTTTTGGAGCTGTAACTGAGAAGAAGAAGAAGAAGATTTAGAAGTATTGGCTGGCGGTGTATTGACGGCTGCGGCTGCAGCTGGCATTTGTTGCTGTTTTTGGTGGCTGCTGGTAGGCGTATCTCCTGTTGGTGAGCGAACGACAGACATATCGTAAGTGTCAGGGTTATATCGGGCTGGCGGAATTCCTTGAGTGCTGCGTCCACTGGTTCTTCTGGTTAGATCTTGGTTTTGTGGCATAAAACCGGCAGAATTTCTTGAATACAGGTAAGAATTATTTTTTTTTGTGACTTAAAGTGGTGACAGCTGTTTTTAAAAAATGTCCGTCCGTTTTAATGAACAGCAACAATAAACACGAATTCAACAAGACAATTGACGACAGAAATTAAATTGACATAAAACAAATAAACAAAGAATAAAGAATAAAGAATAAAGTTGTCCTTTTTTGTTATTTTCCAGGAATAAACCTAAACTCGGCTGGCTCCCAAATGACAAGACTGGCAGGATTTCGGCAAAATAAAAAGCTGCGTTTATTTGGTTTGTTTGTTTACAAATAGTGAGTTTAGTTGTCGTTGTTTATTCTCTGTAAGAATTTTAAAAATTTAACAAAAATTAAGTTTACAAATAAAATAACAATATTTAATTTAAAAACAATAAAAATTAACACGACTTACTTATTTTTGGGTTCTAACAAAAAAGGGAATAAACAATGGCCATAAGGGCCTATTTATATAAAAGTGACATTAAGCAAAACAACAAAAATAAACAAAATGAAGATGTTGGCTTAAATTTAGTTTCGTCTCCCTCTTCGCTTGGGATATTTCGGCCATTTATAACAGTGGTATTTCAAATTTGGCTACACTTTTTTAGCTTTGGTAATTGCAGGGTTACCATCTCTAACAAGCTATTTACATAGGCTTAAAAGTGATATAGTTAATTACAATTCAAAATTCATTGCAAAGGAAAATTATGTGTTTGCGTTTTTTGTTTTTTTTTCAGTAAAAATCTTCCTTAATACTTTTGTCTTTGTTGGGAAAAGTATCAATAAAAGAAATATTTCAGATCAATTTTCCATTTTTAATTTACACAAAGTCAGCACTTTATCTGAATTTGCTGCAAACATTCAACACCCAGTAGGCTGTAGAAAACTCCAAGGGAATTTTATGGTACCGGGTTTTTGGATCAAAACCCCAAAAAGGTTTCGGGTGCTTGGGCAAACTTTTATTTCACCGGCTGCGCAAACCAAATCTTCCCTTAATCTGATACTTTGGAGCAACTCTAGTTCAGTAAAAATTCTTCGATTTTTTCCAGAGGTAAGTATTTTTACCCTGATTCCGGGAAACTATTTTTTCTTGGGGGACAGACCTGGGACCACGATTTTTAACCCGAAAGTCCAAGTTTGCGGTGTAGGACATACCCTGAGGAGAAAATCTCAAGCCCCGGCCGAAGGCCGGCGGCTTACAAAAAGTATCAAATTTGGAAAACTTTGGTTCGCGTTAGCCGGTGTGGTACATACCCAGAGAAGAAAATCTCGAGCCCCGGACGAGGGCCGGCTACTTACAACAACTGTTAAATTTTTAACCAGAAGAGAATATGTATCTCTGGACCCGAAAAATGTATTAGCACAAATTGTAGCATTTTGGAATTGAGTTATGGCGAATGGAAAGACCCATATCTCTGGACCCGGAAAAGGTATTAGCACAAATTGTAGGATTTTGGAAAGGTAAGAGTGTCAGCTATATCAACTCTGTTGACCCCTATAATGGGACCTTTTTCGACTTTTCGAGTTTTTATAAAAAATCCGGGTCAAAAAAATCGATAATTTGACTATAACTTCCAAACCGTGACCACTTGTTGGATAGGTATTTTCTTAACCGGGTCCGGGTCTTGAACACGGACTTTCGGGTCCAAAATCGGGAGTCCCGGGATCGTCTTCCAAGAAAAAGTAGTTTTCCGGAATCAAGGTTGTATGACAGAAGGTTTTATTTATTTTTGCGCCCGAATTAGTAAATATAACGCACTATAGGTTTCGAATTTAATTACAAGTTTATTTTGCTTCAATATGTTTGCCGGTCATATGTCAACTAAACTTATCTATTTTCCAATCCCTTCTTAAGGGCTACAAAAAAAGGGGGGACAAAACAAAATCTGAAACTTCAAAACAAACGACGATTAATCGTGAAATACGAAATTCGCACAAAACAAAATGTAAACAAAACAAAGGGCCACAGTTATAAATATGTATGTTACTATACATACATACAAAACTGACAAACAACAGTGTTGTTGTTGTTATCCACAACTCAAAACCTACGAAGAAGACAAATGCCTAAACGACTGTAGGCATTGTTGTTATTGTCTCTATTTGAGACGCATATAACAGAAAACGAAACAACGATAACAATACACACATTAGGTTGTGACGAATAAATTTGGGAATTATGGAACAGTAGTGTGGGTCGACAAAAATAAGAATATATAAAATTAATATTAAATTAAACAATACAATGAAATGAACGACCCAACACTTCGAAGTAATTAAACTATACCTTTTTGAGACACATAATGAAGTTGATTGTCGACAAATCCGAAACAAGTGCCAAATGTGTTGCTTTAGAACTGAAGCAAACAAAAACAGCGATGTATTTTTTATGGTGACTTTCCACAAAAATCAACTCTAGTGAATAGGAATGGACGATGAGCCCGAAAACGATCAACAGGCAAATTACCCATAATTTGCCCCAACAATTTTGGCTTGTAATGAAAGCAGTGAACGCAATTTCGAACTACTTTCCGAACAACTTTTTCCCACATTGTTCCGATGAACTTAAGCTGTTCACCTCAGCTAAATAATCGATATCTAAACGTGGTATTTCTATGGGCACAAAAACACCTATGCCGTTTAGAACTCTCCCGATATCTTTAGTCGCATAGCAGACGCCCAAGGCGTCTATGCAATCCGAGTATGTAATTTTTTTCATACGACGAAGTTCCCTCTCGTTATCTAAATATTCCTTTCTTGCTTCTGTAAAGGAACGACCTAATTCGGTACATTTTCCCTAGCTTCTTCAGTTACACCACACAGAACAATTATTTCCATTTCTAAATAAAGTGACACAATATAGTCTAAGTCTACAAAATTCATATTAGCTAAATATATGTGCACTCAAAAAATAGACGAATAAACTAATCACTTTTAACTACTCGTCTATTGCGTTAGTATTTATATAGATATAGATCGACAGAATCTTTCACTGCTACCTATCATGTCTCCTTATACACAACTAAAAGATCTAATACTATCTTTGCTTTAACAGTGCATCTTTTACGTCGCTACAGCAAATAAGCCTAACACACTTCACTTCTACGAAAATGCGCGCCTATCACGTTATTTATTTCGCATAAACTAATATTTTCTCGGACACTGAAAATATAGCCTATCGAATCACTTCCTTCACTAACTACACGCGATACTATCACGTCGGGGTCACCAAATGATGAGGTCGACTCCTAACCTCATCACAAGCGATGTAACTAACGAAAGAGAAAACGCCGCGAAATTATGTTTCTCGTTCCTTGGCTGGAAGGGAACTCAATTTATTTACAACATATTCTAAAGCTTACATCTAATACATTAACACATGCATTTTATTTAATAATGCACGGTGTGCTTTAACGTACACATTATGCTAGGAACACAATTGGAGCGAACGACGAATTTCGCCCTACGTGGCGACAAAATGAGCCGCGTAAATTCGCCGTATAGAACACAATACCGACGAAATTATAAAACAGCTGATGAAGTGGGTTACTTTTTGCTCATTTGTTGACTACAATGATCAGAGAATTGTAAAGTTTATTAAAATTGTTAAAATAATGTATATTATAGTAAAAGCTTATCTGCTTTTTCACTCAGGCGCAATATTTCTTTTTTGATACTTCTCCCAACAAAGACAAAAGTATTATGGATTTTTACTGAAAAAAAAAAAAAAAAAAAAAAAAAACGCAAACGCATAATTTTTTCTTGCATTCAATTTCTAATTGTAATTAACAGAACAGCGTTCGCTTGTTTGTTCGGGATACCATAGTATTTTGTTGTTGCAAAATGGTCAGGCTTAATCCCTTTATTGATGTTTTTATAAAAACATAGTTTGTTTATTAGCGGGAAACGATGATAATGTTTACCAGGGGGCAATGATGGGAATGCCTAAGTAGGTTTTGGAAAGAGCAAAAACAAAACAGACAAAACCAACTTACATGGTTATGCTACTTCGTTCATATAAAACGAAAGCATAACAAGTTGAGAAAGATGAAAATGTTTAGAAGTGCGGTTGTAAGAATTAGAAGATTTACCAAAAGAATTTTGCTTTAATGTAATTCTCTGATTCCTCTTATATTGGGCTTACGCACTTGTCACTTGGGTAAACAATTGTCATAGAATTGTTTTTAATTAACTTCTGTTATTTTTAAAATAACTTCTGAGAAGAAAATCACAGACAAAAAACAAGGGAACTGATAAGGATTGGTTGCTCTTTCCAAAAACTAGGTATTCCCTGCCTATCATCGGTAAACATTATCATCGTTTCCCACTAATAAACAAACTGCGTTTTTATAAAAACAACAATAAAGGGATAGAGCCTGGCCATTTTGCAACAACAAAATACAATGATATCCCGAACAAACAAGCCAACACTGTTTTGTTATTACAATTCAAAATTGATTGCAAGAAAAAATTATGTGTTTGCGTTTTTTGTTTTTGTTTTCGTTAAAAATCCTTAATACTTTTGTCTTTGTTGGGAGAAGTATCAAAAAAGAAATATTCCAGATCAATTTTTCATTTTAAATTTCAACAAAAAATAATGAATTATTTAAAATAGATCTCGCTTTTATTATATTCAATTTAACAAAAATGTATCTTATTAATTGATTTCGTAAAACGTATAATGCTAGGAACACAATTGGAGCGAACGACGAATTTCGCCCTACGCGGCGACAAAATGAGCCGCGAAAATTCGTCGTATGGAACACAATACCGACGAAATTATAAAACAGCTGATGAAGTTGTTTACTTTTTGCTCATTTGTTGACTACAATGAATTATACAAGAACACATAATTCTTTACGTTCTCTATTATAATTTCACTTATGTC